TTTGCAAACGGTCACGGTCCACAGTCGCCGCGGTTGCGCTCGTCCAAGCTTACTGCTGCACGCATTTCAACGGCAAATTGTTATGTTATCAGCCTACAATTTGTCCGGGATTAGGTCGTCGGATTAAGGAAAGAAATTTCTGAAAGCGATCTTCAAGCCCTGTAAGGCCCGCGTCGTCTCCAACCTAAGCTAGTTCAAATTAATGAATGGGTGGCCCCCGATTATCAACGCATTGGCGGCGTTTTCTGGCGCCAACAAAGCTACCCATGCAGCCCACAGCTGGTGGCCGAAAATAATGACATCTGGTGGGCATAGCGCGGCCGACACGGGTGCGGTACAGGCCAACCACGACAGGCTACACCGCGCCACATCTCTCCCACGACATAGCCGTCCCATGTCAGTGACTTTCACAGCGTACGCATGCCAGAAAGACGATCATTTCGCAGTGAACCCACAAATGCCTAAGGTCGCAACGCGTCCACTGCAACGTCACGTCCCCAGGGGAGACATTCGAGCCGACACGCCTTACGACACTAGCCGCTAATGTGACGCGATGACGTGATATGGCAAGTCGCACCAAGTGCCAATTCCGAGGTCATTAAGCAGCTGTCGGGGTTCACTTTACCGGGCTCATTGTCGTGTCATCACTGAAAGCACCAGCCGTGTCATCAGTGGATCCGACCCGGCGAGGTCGGGGGGTCCGCCTCTCCAGAAACGAAACTCGTACAGGCCGTAATGCGGCCTCGCTGCTCAGTGCCACTCCGCGGACGTCGAGCTGGTGGTCATGAAGTTCCCAGAGCGCGGCACTGTCGGTTTCTAGATGGACAGGTGTGTGGCGTGCCGCCCGCTAGTCAGCGGCCGTCCAGGACCAGACGCGTTAGCCTCCGCATAACTGCGCTGGGTGCCACCTGGCTAAATGCCGGCGAGCCGCCTAGGCTCCGGCAATTTTTGGAAATAGACCGGCCACCTTGCCAAAGCTGGGCTGGAGAGTTCTGACTTGGGGAGCGCGATGCACCCTCTGGTAACAATGGTGGCTTGGCATCGCAGGCTATGACGCTTAACGCGAAACCATCGCGATGCCACCTAATCATTTCGCCAGCCTGGAAGACTTAACAAATTCTAACCGATGGTGTTGCCAGCATGCTATCTGCAGATTACCTTATTCCTAACACATGTTTGTAGATTTGTGAGATGGCGGTGTTGGCACTCGAGTCAAGTGTGCTTTTATAGCCGGACCACTAATCTGAGCCTGTCCGCTGGACTAGATCACCATGTACGACACTGTCCGAGGTGCTGTGTCGTAGGAATTTGTGGGGCAAGATTCCATCGCAGCTGACAAGAAACTGGCCGTAATGACGCGTTTCGTCCGACTACACCGCTTCGAGCGTGGAATCCGCTTGTCCGACTACAATCCATGGTGTCTCGGGCCACTTTCATAAACTAAGCCCCACCATATCACAAAGAGATTCGCAATGGGATGCAAGGCGTCTAATACATGTCCTGCCGCAGGCATTGCTCCAGCGGTTTGCCATATCAAACTGTCGCGAACCACATGCCGAAAATCGAGGCGTCCGGTACCTCTGTCAAATAGTGGTTTCCGATGATGATGACATCGCACACGTCATCACAGCGCGACCGTCCGCTAAGCAGACCCCGCCATTCCACTCGGTCCATCCCCACCCGGTCGTGGGTGTTAACGGAGCCCAACTTTACCATCCCCCCCGCGTCGAACCCATCTGCTGGGGACCTCAGTCTGTCGGCCCACCTCCACCACCCCTGTCGGACCGGTCCCTGCCGCGCCCGGCGCACCCCGACCCTACCTGATTGTTTGGCGGCGTTCCGTCTCGGTCAATGGCCGTCGTCACGGCCACGTAGGTGCCCGGCTCCGAGTTCTCCGACACGGTCACCGGGTCGGTGCTGTAGAAGATGGGCACCTCGTCGTTGGAGTCGAGCAGCGCGATCCGGAAGGTCACCTCGGCGCCGGTTTGCTGGTCCGTCTGCCGACGCCCCGGCTCGCGTGAGCACGCCAGCAGCGCAGCGCCAATGGTCGGCCGGAGACGTGGCATGTGTCGGACGGTACGCGGCGGCCAAACACTGACGGTGTGCGCCAGCCCACAGGCTGCGGCCAGCCACACTGAGTGCACTGTTCGATGATTGAATATCCGCATTGTGACCATCCGTAGTGGTCATGCAATATCCAAATGTAAATACTAATCGTCCAAAGTGACACTAATGCTGATAATATCGTCACATTGTTTGTGCTTTCTTTGTAATATATTGCGATCAGCATGCTTTTTCCGATCACCACTTTTGGTTACATAAAACCCACAAAAATGCGCGACGGGATATATGGTTCCGATTATCTCTAACGTACTGGAACTGCCTGGAATGAGGTTGTAAGGCCTATGCTCGTCCCCCCCCCCCCCCGCATCTGCCATGCAATTTAGTGTTCGTTCGTTGTCGGCGCAACTGCTCACCCTGATCATCTTTTGACACAATGGCTCGGCAACGTGAAAGCATCGTCGATACACCCACCCGCGACACAGCCAACCCGCGCTAAGGTCACCCCACGGGCACACATGGGATCGACCAATCACCTGTGGCCGCAGGCTCGTCACACCTCCACCACCTCATAAACAAACCACGCAGCGCTTGACGACACAATCCAGCAGCGATCCTCGGCACGAAAGGTCCCCACGCTACCACGCACGCGCGTGGCCGCGTAGAACATTTCAACTTCGACCACGTTACCATCCAGCAGGCTCTTCAGGAAAGTTTCCACCGCAAACGCGATTATATTTCCCTGCACCTGCATGTCAAGCAGACGCGATGGAAACGCTCGCACGCATCTGCAATAAACCTGGGCGTTTACGGCGCTCTGTTTGAGCGCAATGCATTGGGGAAGCCACAGCGGCAAGGGCGCTGGATTTATGGTCACGGAATGGCAGACATATTCCTTGGATGAGGGCCCCAGATCGTCTGAAGCACCAATGCCTGCCCATGACGCTTCTGGGTCCATAGAGCCTCCAACGCCATCGCCTGTAACGATATCCTCCCGGGCGTGCGTGCGTGCGTGCGAGCGCGTGTGTGTATATCGCCGTTGGGATTCATTGTCCAAAATGCTGCACAGAGAGGTTTACGGGGAAAGAAGTCCAGGGTGAGTGATGACTTATTAACGCAATCAGCCTCGATCACCACGCAGATAGTTGGCATCAGTCACGCCCCGGTACCTCACGGTGTTTCTATACCACACAGCTTTACAAACAAAACGACATTCCATTGGAGTATTGCTTTCATGTACCCTACCACCATACCTTGTGGGATAAACACCTGTGATGACTTTTCCCAGCTGTGATTTGGCATGTTTAGTTCGAAGACATACTTTGTAATGGCTATGCCTTCACGCATGGGCATACATACATTCATGTCATTTGACGGACTTAGAGGGAGATAGCCTTTTAGGTGGAGATGCAACTGCGTACTGGACACTGGTCTCTGGACCACGCGTGACTGATGCGAATTGTTAAACCAGTTTTCCCAAGTTCACCCCAGAGAGCTTGGATTTTCCACTTAAAATAGCAACTTTCGCGGGATTATCTGCCAGACAACGTGCGTATTATTCCAACAAAACATCATGCTGTGTTCAACTACATTAACCTCGGTCTTATCCACCGGCGACTGTAATATTTGTGCAGTAATCGCATAAGAACGCACGATGCCATATTCCATAACAATTTGCTATCAATTCAACTGCGTTTCATTCACTAACTGAATCCACGCACAGCAAGCTTTCAGAGCGTGAGGAAAACCCCGTCTTGTTTTCAGCGCTCCGCCCCCATAACCTAGCCGTCACCAAAGCCGAGCCACGACGAGTTGCTGTGAATTGGCTGCGGCCTTTCCACTACCTGCTACGTGATTGGCTGCCGGCCAAATTCACTGTTGACGGCAGCCATGCTTCAAAGTGAGTTAGTGCTGTTTACGGTCCTGGCCGGCTTTTTATACTTCAAATTCAATCAAATCCTTTCAAAATTTAATGTCACATATTTAATATTTGGGAGACCCAAGAGCAGACCTGTGCTCGACTCCGAATGAGTGGGCGCTAAAGGATCGCGACTGCTAATGGGTCCAAAAACCCACATTATAACCACTGACTCTGAATCGAGTGGCAACCATCCCCTGAACCGGCACTTTATGGGTGGAACCGGAGCAAGTATTTTTGCAACACTTACGTGCAAGAATCACACATGTTTATTTTAGAACTGAAGCAAACATATTTATCAGGGTAATCGATGACCCCACTCAAATAAAAACGTAAGAAACGACAGGTGTTATTATTCTGAGGGCATTAAAACGTGCGGAAACTGCAATAGCCGACGTATCCACTTATCACCAAATAACATCCCGCGCAAATATTTGTAAGCATCCATGGACAGGTTGATGACATGAATTGTTGCCGCCAGAATCAACTCCAGTGGAATCCATGAGTGATTTCACGGAGGCGGAATCCAGCACGGGCAGCCAAGGCGCACTTTCTTCGGTCACGTGAATTTATCGGTCACATTTGGACATTCATGTGTTCGTTGGGATTCTCCAAAATTGACTTCCAGGTTACGATGCGTTGACTGAAGGACGGGAGGGGCGGGAGGGCGGTAGGGTTCATGAGATGCATTGCCCTGCCCTGAATCCGACCCCGCGAAACAAATTGTGTCCGCTCTGCAGACTTCAAATGAGCTACCTAGAACTTCAGAGCAATCCGGCATACTCCGCATGAGTATATGTGAAAGAGGTCTTCAATCACACGGCCTATGATCACAGGCCATAAGCAGCCCCGGGAACTAGAATTTGGTCCGAATATGCGAACCTGATAATTAGCCTGAATGCCAACTTCGGCTCCACGGACTTTTCCACCATTACGCTCCAACATGCACTTCGTCGATGCATTAGTGTCCCTCCGGCCGATAAGCAATGCACCATGAGTGGCGAAGTTCCAGAAACGAAGCCAACTTCGCCGCTCCGACCGAAGTTTGGTCGCAGTCGGACGTAACTTCCCCACCGCTCATGGACGCGCCCGCCGCCGCCAAACATCGTCGATCGTCGCTCACCGAAGCGCGCACGGTGATATTATAGCTCTTGAGCTGCTCGTAGTCCAGTTGCCTGCTGCCGCCGTACTTGATGATGGCGCCACCGTCGCCGTCCTCCTCCACCACGAACGTGCGGTCGCGGTTGGTCTGCTCCTGGGAGCCGTGCACGATGTCGTAGTAGATCGCCGGGCTAGCCGCCGAGTTAGAGCTGCCGAGAGCGGGCGGTAAAATAATTAAATTAGAACGACCAAAACAGATTGAAACAATTCAAACGATTACGGGTTTTTGGAGGCGTGATGTCAGGGACTCGAATCTCGCTGGTGGCCACATTTGTTCTTTCTCGTGGCGGGCAGTGCGGGGGCCACCGCGGCAGTAACGTCAAACCACTCACGCCCGACGAGTAAGCGTGACCGAATTTCAGCCACGCGCAGAGAAACCACCGATCGAACACCCATTCACGACTTCCCTCAACACTGGCCCGCACTCGTCCTGAAACGACCCAAAAACGAGGTGGGCGACCGACCGAACGGAAACGGATTTCAGCCACGCGCGCAACGAGGATCATTCCCGCAGAACGGAACCGGCCCGGCTACTTCACCATGATTTAAGGCAGTCGTTGCGTTCACTCCGCGGGCGTCCGCCGCAAAACCGGCACATACATCAGTGCAGCGGGGGGGGGGGGGGGGCACAGGGTCTGGGGGGCTTCGCGGTACTCAATACCCCGCCGTCGCAACATTTGTCAGGCGCGGTGCAATACGGTGGCGGCAGCCGGCGCCGGGTTACACCGGCCGACCCGGTCATACGTCTTCGGTCGCTGGATCTGCCTATCGACCGAGCCGCTGGCCGTATGTCACGGAGACCCTGCCACCGGACATAATTCACCGGCCGCACACAGCGGAAGCCCACTGAGTCCGGGCCACCGGGCACCGGCCGCTCGCCGCTCAAAGGCCGCCCGAAATGAGTGGGAACCGACGTTGATTGGGCGAATTCCCGCTAACGCCGCCCAATTTCGCCCCCAGTTGTCGGCTGTTGAAAATGTAGCACGCCAGGCTCAAGCCGCCTCGAATTATGTTTGACCTCATACGGAGCAACTAAGTCGGCCTCGACGCCGCAGTCGACACAAATCCGTGACATCCAGATCGCGGCTGCCAGCCTGCGTCCACCTCCCGGCCGTGACCCCATCCGTCGCACGCATCGACCCTTCGGTCGGCCCCTGGCCCCTCGGGCCACTCACACAGCCTTGATGCGGGCGATGGGCGCCTCCGTGTCGCGGTAGCTCTCCGGCAGGTAGTAGGTCTGGTTGGGCCGGACCACGAAGGTGGGCGGCCGCGTGTCCGAGTCCTTGACGGTGATGACGACGGGCACCTCGGCCGAGAGCGAGGGGCTGCCACGATCCCGCGCCACCGCCGTCAGGCGGAACTCGTAGTCGATCTCCACCTGTTGACGTCGGCGGGGTCACCGGCGAGGGTCGCGGGCAGGGGAGGCGCGGCGGCAGGGGCAACGCCACGGTCAACATGGAACACACGCAGAAACAGCATGGGGGTCAGAGTACGTCACAGATCCGGGCCATGGTGATTATCGAAGTCACCTTGAAAAGCAGCACTGTGCTTGAGTTGGATGCCAGCAGTAAGTTGCGCGGGCGGGTTACGACCACGCTCTTGATCATGGTCAAGCTGAAGGTCAGGAGTGATCTCAAGGTCTGAATCAACGGTCAGCAGCGAGGACACATCAGACTGGGGGAAAATGATAGGGTTACTTCCAGCCATGGAGATCATTCGACGGCTGAGCAAAAAGCCACCAGGTGTTGTAACAAACGCAGGCATACCACTGCAGGCGAGCCTTGACGAATGGGAATGTTACGCCACGAAGGATCGTCTCAAGGTGGTAGTGCAAAGAACTCTAACCTGCTCGGTCATGTATGTCAGTATATCAACCGACTTACCGCAGGCTGTGGCAGCCTAAATGTGTCCACCAGCAAGAACCAATTTCTTCACTCCATTCACCGTGTCTACCTAGAGCCACGCCCATTAGCGAAGTTGGCAAACGAAAGACGACACGGCGTCAGGACCTGAATAGCTGCCATTTCAAAACCAACCGAGTCAGATACCAGCCTGTCGCACCGCTGCCGCCCGGTCGGCCGAGACAAATCGACTACAAGCAAACTTGCCCGACCCCGCTCCATCACTGTCTGACCTCCATTCACCGCATCCTTGCGGCCCCCACTGCCAAGCCGACGCCGGCGTCGCGCCGCCTCCGCGCTTGTCAACACCGCCGCCGCGTACGGGCATGTATGTCAGTGGGAGACGCATACCGGACCCATACCGGGAGACGCACCGGCGTCGGCCGCGTCGGCAATGCGCTCGCGTCGGCCACGACGTCGTCGCCGTCGACGCGTCGGCCGCGTCGACGGCGCCGCTCGCGTCGGCCGCGACGTCCGTCGTCGACGCGGGGAACAGGTCCGACGCTGGCTCTACCGCGGTCGCGGCCGCTCACATCGGTCGATACGCGCCGTGTGTGAACAGCACCAGCGAGCTTGGCTGGTGTACTCGACGGCCGCCCGCCGCCAGCACGCTGCTGTTACGACGAGGCCGCCGTCGCCGCGCTCGTAGCAGGAGGGAGATTCGTCGCCGCCGGCGGTCGGCACGCGACGCCGGGACCCCTCCCCCGTCCCGGTCCGCAGGGCACGGCGAGGGGGTCGCCTCGGCACGTTAATGGGCACCGAATTTACGAGCGCCGCTAAATGACGGCACGAGGTGCCAACGGGACGTCAGCCTACGACCGGACCCATAACGCGGCAATTAATATTACTTACCGGCCGAGCGGAACTGGCCCGGCAAACGGCGGGTGGCGACGTTACCGGCGCGGCGCCAGCTGCATGACTGCCGGCACTTACGCGCTCCACAAAAGTGTATTGTCCAGCGGCTTCTGAGTGGGCGAGTGCGAGTGAGGAGTTCAGTCGCCCTGCGGCTGCAATGGTCCCCCACAAGCAGACCATTTACACCGGACAATTGCACCGGGTCAAAAGACATCCTGGAGGCCAAAGATAGAGCTCTCAGAGTCTGCAGCGAAGCATGCGCTCGCACTCGCCCGGCATTTTCCCAGCTCATACACCGCAGAAGGACAGCCACTTATCCAGCACCAGCGAGCCAGCACTGACCTGGTCCAGTACCCCATCCCCCCTCACACCACCCCCAACCCCCGGTGACCCACCGCTGACGTAGTGAAGCATCAAATACACCGCCACTTCTCTGGAGTCCCGCATCCTGCTACTGCCTTGGGCAAGCCACGGTAACTCGATATTAGCCTGTTCCAGCCCCAGTCACCTGTCACTGCCCTGCTGCAGCCCTAGTGACCTGCCTCCGACCCGTCCCCAACCTAGTGACTGACCTGGTCGAGCCGGCGGGTGAGCGTGATGACCCCCGTGCGCGGATCGACGCCGAAGAAGCCGCCGTCGACGGGCCGCGCCGGGCTGACGAAGTACTCGATCGTGCCATTCTCGTCGCTGTCGGCGTCCGTGGCCGAGATCCGCAGCACGGCCGCCTCCAGCTCCGTGTCACGCGGGATCGACTCCTGGTAGTTCTGTGGGGCGGCAGGCGGAGGCGTCACTGGCGCTGGCTTCGCTGGCCAGGCCACACGCAGGGCGCGGCAACGGAGGAGAGCAGCCGATCGCTGCCGCTCTGCAGTTCCTGCGGCGTGCGCTGTCCCGCTCCACTCAGTCCATTTACACCACACATGGCGCACGCCCGACGAAGCCAGCGCCATTTTGACGGCGCCGATCGAGACGTAAGTCAACATCATGCCCAGGTAAGTCATGTGGGCCGCTAAGCCTGACAGCCGCGCGCGAATGGGTGTGCGAGAAGCGTCACTGGGCCCGACAGCTCATATGATAACCACACGTGGGCTCAGTGCTTCAGTCCATTCGTCATGGGACATCAGCTGACGTGCCACGTGCCTGGTGACGTCTGGCATCGTGACATTGGACAGGCCGTTGCAGGCACCTGACACATGTCAGCTGTTGCCAAGCACACGCCATATGACAGGTGGCATCCGCACTGTGCCACGTGTCAGGTGACGCGTGAGCATTTGGAATGGGTGCGGCGTGGGTGCCATGGCACCCCACTTCCCGAGAATGCTGAACGTTAACCACATGGCGACTTTAATGCCGACCATAAACCCTATGGTCTCCAGTTACGGTCTGGTGTGATTAAGATGACACCAGGCACAGTTCCCCGTGCCAGGCGACCTTACTGTCATATTGCCATCGGCACCAAGCAGCATGCTGCATGTCATACACCACCATCACCGGGGAGAGGCCCACAGGAGCCAGACCGCGCGTCTCGAACTCCCGCACAACCAGACAGCGAATCCGGAGGCATGTCTGAGTCGAAGTCCCAAGTGGCGGGCCCCCCGTAAGGCGCCGCCGACGCGGCAGTCAGAACTCCTCCACGAGAGTACAGCCGGCGGCGGCGCTCCCCCTCCCCGCGCCCGGGGGTTCCGGCGATCGCCGACGACACGCACCACCGACGCGCCATCGACGCCGACGCCGGCGCGACCCGCCCCGTCGCCCCGCACTGTCCGCCGACGGTGGGCAGCAGCGGGCTGAGGCTGGCGCCCCCTGGAGAACACGCCCGGGCTGCTGCGCGAGGCGTGCCGGCCAGCTCGGCGGCCGGGCGTCACGCAGACGGTCGGCGCCGCCCGCGCCGCGGTGGGCACCTGCACAGCGGACCGACGGTCACCTGGCCAGTGCTGAGACAACTGTCGCGGGGAAGAGCCCGCCCCATTGGCGGTGTGCAGACTGGGTGGAGGTCCTCTGTCCAACATCGGTGGTGGGTGGTTGCGCTGCCGCATGTGCTCGTCCCTCGCTTTGCAGCTTCAGCAAAAACAGTTGGGCTTTGGTGTCCACTTTGTTTTGAGGTGGTCACCTGCCCATAATTGCAAGCCAGGTACACCGGTGGCATAAGTGGACTTATCCTATTACGCATGTGGCTGGGTTACATCAGATACCGATAGAACGTGTAGATCATCCCAAACGCACGCCGACGTCAGGTTCCCATCTACACCTAGCCTTCTCTTGCAGAGCGGGGTCGAAGGGCGCAGAGCGGGGTGCGATCTGACCCGACCCCAGAGCAGACGTGCCCACACCGGCCTGCTTCATCAAGCCAACTAGTCCCCGCCGACGCGCGTACGGCGGACCTGGTCCTTCCGCCGAGAGGCCCAATATCAATATCTCGGTCGACCCTCGCGACAAAACGCAGGCTTTAGTCTCCGCTCGAACGGCGGCTAAATTCGACGGGGCTCGGTCCCCGGAGACCGGCAGCTAGATTGAAACTGGGCTCAGCTTTGGACGGGGCCGGGGCAGCTGCGCTGGCTCCGGGTAGGTCAGGTACACTCCTGCGCTATTGCCCCATCACTCGTGGTCTATTCCGCCCGCCAGGGGGCGCAGCAGCCGGGCCGGCCAACTAAATGGACGCCGCGTAACGGGCCTGATCACAGGCAACGAATAGCCCGATTTTGCGAAGTCCGCTGGTGCTCTAATTCGCTTCCTGCAACTGTGCGATGCGCTTTAAAACGACGACTTAATCTAAAAGCCTTTACAAGTAATCATGCGCACAAAATGTCTGCACTCAGACGCACCATACAGCAGGAAGGGCGGCGTAAACGCCGCTGGCAACCACGCACACCCGTGAAGCGATTTCAACCACACGTGGTTAAAGATTGACCAAACAATCAGACCGCATCGACCCGCTCGGCAGCAGCCGCAGAGGATCCCACTGGGACTGCCAGCAATAGCGCCTCAGTCCCGAGAACGGTCTGCGGCGCTCTTACCACCGCCATGGCACCCTCGTCCATGTCACGGCATCCTCCCTAGCTTCCTCTGCTCTCCTGACACACGGCGCCCTCGCCACGCCACGGTGCCCTCCCTGCCTCCCCCTGCTCTCCTGACACACGGAGCCCTCGCCATGCCGCGGCGCCCTCCCCGTCTCCGCCAGCTCTCCCGACACACGGCGCCCTCGCCACCGCCACGGCGCCCTCCCAGCCACCACGGCGCCCTTCCTGTCTGCCGCCGCTCCTGACACACGGCGACCCGGAAAACGGCCGGCCCGGAAGCGGCGCGGCCCATTCGGCTCAGCTTATTAAGCGCGACGCTCGTACGTCACCGGGTCGCGTCGGATGATTGGGCCGACGACGGCCGGCGCCGCGCCGGCCGCCGCTCATGGCGGCGCCGTGTGTCGACCCCGGTCGGCCCGGCGTGGTCGCGCTCAGGGGCGCCGGCTCTGGAGGCCGTCCACAGCCGCAGGTCTCGTAGCAGCTGCAGGTCCCGCTTCGGACATGGTGCTAGCGGCAGACGCTCATGCCAGACCGTGTGAGGCGCCCGCACTTCGGACGTGGTGAAAAAGAGGCTCGACTCTGGGCACTGCCGGAGGCTTCACAAATGGAGGGGGGTCTTGACTTAATGGGACATCTCGCAGGGGGTGGAGCAGCTGGTGAAACACAGGTGTCCGGCTCCACATGCTCCCCCCCCCCCGCCCGAAAATTTCCCTTCCTGTACCTGCCCGGGCATTTGTTACAGGACGACGATTTAAAACTTGCAGGCTACATCATGGGAGGCCATATTTAAGCGACTGCCGGGAACTCTGTACTGAGTAGAAAAGTCATAGGATGACGAAATACGGAGTCGCCTGGGTATGCGACGGTAAGTATACGGAGGATGGCTCCGCCTCCTGCCAGCATACGCTGGCTGGTATGTGCTGCTGAGAAAAGCCTTCTGTAGCAGCCACGACAGGCAACATGCGCTGCAATACTGCTTTTGCCGCATTCTTTCGAATACCGAATACCGCATATAATAATACTGAGTGCCACATTTTTTACAAAATGTTTTTCCACTCTTACGAATGACAACTCCACACCACGGCCCACGCGTTTGCCTCGAATTCGACTCATGCAGTTAAAACTGTGGAAAAGGCTGCTTCGTGCCCTTGCCCTTACAAAACTAGGCCACGCTTCGACGCCAGTTGGCGTGCAGAACAAGAGACCTGAACGATCTTTCTTGGTCATCACAGTAGCCGCGCCTGCGGTCGAGACATTCTACAAGCGGGTAGCAGCTACCTCGCTCGGCTGGGTCGAGGTCATATCCGACGCTGGGCCCCGCACACCGCTGTCAGCAGCCAGGTATGGCTCGCAGCTGGGCCCCGCACAGCGCTGTCAGCAGCCAGGTATGGCTCGCAGTCGGGCCCCGCTCAGCGCTGCCAGCAGCCAGGTATGGCTCGCAGCTGGGCCCCGTTTGGCGCTGCCAGCAGCCAGGTATGGCTCGCAGCTGGGCCCCGCTCAGCGCTGCCAGCAGCCAGGTATGGCTCGCAGCTGGGCCCCGCTCAACGCTGCCAGTACGCCTCGGTGTTGGGCCCGCTCGGTGCTGGGCCCGCTCGTTCGGCGCTGCTAGCAGCCGAGGCGTACGGGGCCCAGCGCCGTACGCCTCGGTGCTGGGCCCGCTCGGCGCTGGGCCCGCCCGTTCGGCGCTGCTAGCAGCCGAGGCGTACGGGGCCCAGCGCCGTGCGCCCCGGCGCTGGGCCTCGCTCGGCGCTGTCTGCAGCACGATACTCACCGCTTTGTCGAACATGGGCGGGTTGTCGTTCACGTCCCGCACATTAACTACGAACGCGCACGTGCCCTCCAGCGACGGCGTGCCCTTGTCATTGGCCTTGACGATGACACGCAGCTCCTTCTCATGGTCCGGCTCGTCTCGGTTAAACATCTGCGGACGGAGAGGTCAGGTCAGGTCACACGTGCAGGTCGTCAGGTCACTCGTGCACCGGACTGGATTGGTGCACGGGCGAGGTACACGGTGTCGCAAAAACTGAGATCAGCTTGGGCATTGAGGACAGTCCTCAACCACGGGTCAGTCGACATAGTGACATGCTGCATTTGGCAGGCGCGCCGCAGACAACTCAGGCATATCGGAGTACTCTGTCGCTAACACGGGCTTTCAGATACGCCGTTGGCTTTACAGCCTTGCCGTTAACTCAGCACAGGTAGTCAGATACTTTGTTAACTATTGCGGACGTAGGAACCAGGCAGGGGTGTAATGCCCTATTCAGTTGGGTGGGGGGGGGTGGGGTGGGGGGGCAACCTGAGCCTCAGCCTGAGCCTATACAGTCGGTCAGGTCAACAGGGGAGCAACGCAGCAAAAGCGCGAGGGAAGTTCGACGGGTCATTCAGTTTCACAACCACGAATTGCTGTACTGAGTATCAGGCGGTGTTTGAATCAATGTCTGGTAACTCTGTCAAAAGGAGCCACTCAGTGGATTCCACGAAGTGTCTGTGAATGAGGGGAGTGCTAAGGTGGCGTGTGCACTCCCAAAGCTTTGTCCCGAACAGCGATTTCACAAAGCACCAGCTCATTTCCCCTACCAAGGTTAAAGAGATTGGGCTCCAAAGAGAATATATATATATATATATATATATATATATATATATATATATATATATTCACGGTCACATGCGTGAAAAGATCCGCTATCTTGTCGCGTGGGCCACGATTTGTGTAAATATTGGAAGGGGAGAGCGACCCGAGGGACCGACCAACTACACTCCCCAAGTATAAGCCTCCCAACGCATGTAGTACATTCAAAATTCATGACAAACAATCGAAATCCTAAATCCATGCACGATATATGAAAATGATTGAAATCCATGCATATTAGATCCATGTTAGATAAATCCACGCATGATTTGAGGAAACTTTATTTGAGCAAAATAGTCATCATGGCCATCACGAAATTCCCAGCGAAGCAACATTTTTGTGGGATTTTTGTAGTCTACAAGTTTTGTAATATTGCAGAAAAACAAAATTGAAGGTCCAAACCAATACTAGAGGACCAAAATCGATATATGGGGACTCGGAGCCCTCACAATAGATTACAAATCGACGCCCAAGTCTCCTCATTCACGCACATCTCATTTTGTCGTCAGTTCGCGCTTTACACTGCGGTACACCCGCAAACTTTCAATTTCCCCATGGGTGCCAGTGGAGGTCACCGCACTCCACCGGTACCCCATCACAGCTGTTCTCTGGGAAACAGCGTTGGAACGCTTCGAGGCCAAGCAAAAACCGTAACTGGCGCGATATTTCCGTTGTCTTACTTCTGTTGAGCTCATCACGTGCTTTTTGGGAATAATCTTGCTTTTGATCTCGTAAAGTAAAGCCGGACGGCATTTTGGCAGGCCCAGCAGCTCGTGTACCAAAGTCATGCGCACACGTATTAATGGCAGGAAAAAGGCAGTAAGTTCAGGCAGGCACCACATGCAGTCGCCAAGTTGGCCAGCTACCGACAGGCCACGGCACTCGTTCACAAAGAATGGTTTTCCAACAGCGCCGCATGATCCATCACACGGAGCTTCGCGATCAATCTTCAGGAGTCCGCCGATCGGCGACGGCTTCGCGTGACGCCGGCTGCGCGCTGAGCAGCGCTACAAAACTGACAGCACAGACAAACGCCATCCCAAGTCAACACGGGCCGCCAGAAAAACTGCTAATGGATCTGTGCACTATATCCTCAGCGTAAAAGGATGTCCGTAGGGTGTTCATAAAAGTGTCCGAATTTAAAGCGCCGCTATGATCTAGGGCAAGACTTTGAACTGTTAACCTCAAGTTTGGAAAGGCTTTTAAGCCACCGGCCGGAAATGCCACGCAAAAGCGTACTGGTGTTTGTGGGATCCGGCAGACGACAGGCGGCGATCCAAATCCCTGGAAACACCGGTGATGGAAACGAACCCCCACAGCGTATCTCGAATACCAGCCCCCGATAGAACCTCGTAACCCCATAAACCCCATACCGCATCAACAAAATTAACAGTCCTAACAAATGTTTGCCTTCATGTGGGCATGCTGTATTTGAGACAAACATTGAAAGCATCGATTGATTCATGGAAGTCAGGGAGTCTTCACCGCCATCCTGTGCTTGCAATAACCAGACAGGATCAATGTAATTTGAATGGGTCGTGCTGAGGGCTATGACTAATGGGCGTCGAGCCTGAGCGATGACGCAATTCCAAGGGCCGAGCTGCGCGCCTGTGAATGGCATATGTTTCCTTCAAACATCGCCGCATGTCACCATTGGATATCGTCCTCCGCAGTCACCCAGGACGTGCTGTATGCTTTTCGCCGTAAGCTGAGATTGATAACGTCAGAACTTGCTTTGTGAGCACGCAGCTTCCCCCCCCCCCCCCAAAGACGGGTCTTTTTGTGCCGTGGGCACACAGCCGATTTTTGTAGGGTTTTTGCAGTCTCGAGCTGAGCCCGATGGAACCTCTCGCAAAGGCCCCTCTAGGGAGTGGCAGTTAAAGGACCTCCTGATGTCTTGACTCTTCTTGAAGCCTCCTGATGTTCTAATCTTATTGAAATACGGAAAGTTGGGCGCGCTTCTTTCAGCATTCTTATTTCACGTTTTTTTTCTTCAGAATAGCGGCTCGCATTCGCTGAGGAAGGAGAAACCCAAGCCCGCGTGCCTCTGTCGCCTGCGTTCCCTGCTCACTGACGCCATGCCCAGGCCGAGGCGTGCCTCTGGGGTGTGACAGGTCGCGTGACACGTCACGTGACCTCGTCAGCCGGACGGTCGTGACGCAGCGTCGCCGTGGGCAACACGTGTTCGTGCCCGGCCCAGGCAGGCCATCACGTGGGGATTAGAGGCCAGGTAGGCAGCCGGGCCCCACCCCCGGCCAGTGACATCTGTCCAGTGGGGAAGCGGTATAGAGACCGACGCCACCGGCTGCCCCGCGACACGGGACGTGTGCCACACATGACCGGTCTCCCGGGATCACCCAGGGGCGTGCCTCAAAGCTCATCTGATCTAGGTGTCATCGAGGTTATCTCAAACCGTCACCTCACGGGTCAACTCACGCAAGAGGCTGACTCACGTTCCCCCGTCGCGCGTTTTAAAGTTGGATTTGCTTTGGATGTTGCCATTAACATTTCCGTTCATGTACGCTGGCCAATCACATTATGAACCTCTCGCTCTCATTCAGCACTTCCCTTTTGTTTGAAGTTCGTTTCCAAAGGATACTTCCGACCCCCAGCTGAATGCTGGCGATTCGGTCCTCCAGGCGCTCACAAATGACCAGGTCACTGGCTCGGCCGCCCTCAGGTCACTGGCTCGGCCGACATCAGGTCACTGGCCCGGCCGCCCTCAAGTCACTGGCTCGGCCGACCTCAAGTCACTGGCTCGGCCGACCTCAAGTCACTAGCTCGGGCGACCTCAAGTCACTGGCTCGGCCGCCCTCAAGTCACTGGTTCGGGCGACCTCAGGTCACTGGCTCGGCCGACCTCAAGTCACTAGCTCGGGCAACCTCAAGTCACTGGCTCGGCCGACCTCAAGTCACTGGCTCGGCCGACCTCAGGTCACTGGCTTAGCCACCCTCAGGTCACTGGCTCGGTCCACCTCAGGGCACTGGCCCGGCCGAACTCAGGACAATGGCTCGGCCGATCACAGGACACTGGCCCGGCCGATCACAGGACACTGGCACGGCCGACCACAGGACACTGGCTCGGCCGAACTCAGGAGACCGGCTCAGGCGACCTAACGGCGAAGTCGAAGAACTGCAGGTGCAGATTTGAGAACGAACCATTCCTGTACACCGCGCACAATATTGATGTTAGCACGACGCAATGAATAAAATGCCCTCACTAAATCAGACACGCAAAAGGAATCGAGGGCATAGTAAGTGTCCAGGAAGAACCAAATCAATACCTAGTAAATGCACGCTTTAACAGATGGTCCTGCAGACACGTAGCCACAATTTGCCTCAGAGGGATGTCATTTGTCTCTCGCATCTTGCAACTTTCGACCAAGTTCCTGCGAAATCTCCCAGTATCTGATTTCGACTTCTTGGACAAGAGGGGCGAGCATGGCTCCCCCGCCCCTCTCCCGGCTACGTTCCTGCGCTCTTGCTTGTTCAGCTTTGTTGATGTTAAAACATAATCTACGACCTACAACATAATACCGAGACTACAAAAGCACGGCGTATCAACAACCTTTAGATTCCCGTTCTTTTATTACTTCCACTTCATTGCTTTTCGTGTGATGATTTATTGCAAGCTGGCGACTATGATTTTTTTCCACTACGAAACGAATGCGTTAGATGAAGCATACATCACGCTCCAATGTGGGCAGAAGGCATTATATCGCTCCTGGAATCAGCAATTTGTCTATGACGCAACGTGCAACCCGTCGCTATTTGACGCAGGGCTGTCTGACATCACTTACCGCGGGAGGGCGGGGGGGGGGGGCTGCCGGTACCTTCAGCGTGGTGAGCTGCCCAGAGGCGGGGTCGATGCTGAAGAACGACTCCAATGAGAAAGGGCTGGTCACCAGTGAGTACACCACCTGGGCGTTCTCGCCCTTGTCCGCGTCCGTCGCCTCCACCTGCAATACAAAGCACGGAGACACGTCAGCAGCACGCCCAGATGGACGGCGAAGATCCAAACTCGATCGTACATAATGGTACAAGCAGGAAGGGCGTTGAGCTCGTAACAATGTTTTGTCTGCCTCCTGTGACACATCAGAAGTAGCGCTGTATTTTCCTTTATTTACATATTCGAATGACCGCAGATGTGCTGGAATGACCTCTCAACCTTTTTTTGCTTCCGGCGAAAAAGTTTATTGGCAAGTTCTGACCAACGGCGCGGAAGGAATACGGTCGTTGATTGGATCACCAGAGCAAATGACGTTTCACCGGGCAAGATTAATAGAAAATCTAACCTTATATCTTTGTTTCTGATCGAAGAAAACACATCTCAAGATTATATAGGCATCATTCCATTATATGGCGAGGCTGGAATTAGAAAAAGGTCAGCAATCTCATATCCCTCAATGTAAAGAGGTTCCTGTCTCTGTTAGTTCTACTCATGACTGAGAAGAGAAAAAAGCAACGCGGAGAAATGAAACAAGCTCTTGTTCTTTCGCATTTTGTTTTCACATCTCTCAGCTGAGATGGCACGTCGCAATCGCCAGCCAAGTTCTTAAGGCACGCAGTGTACTGGGGCTTTCCATGCCCTTTCTGTTGTAACGAGCGAATGTGGACATTTACTGACAGACTTGCCTCCAATGACTATCGTTAGACGTGGCCACGGACGCCAACTAAGCAGAGCTTACGGACGAGGAGCGGTGACGGAGGAGGTTTAGCATTAGGTCCAAGTTAGCGTATGGACAGAAGCGAACCGCAGCGCCAGCTGCCAACGCCAGACGGATTTCCGCCGTCAGGGAATATCAGGGCAAATAGCAGTGATTGAGCTATTCATAGCACAGGGTGGCTTGCTGACGTCATGCATTCGACGGCTTTCGTTCCGCGCGCTGCAGAATGTCTGGGCAGATTTCATTGACTTCTGTAATCCATGTGTTCCGGCCATATTCATACATCCCACGCGCACAACCAGGATTCCGTCCGAGCGTCAGCACATTGCCAAAGACAAGGCATAACGTAAAGTCAATAGCCCTGACGTCATGAAGTCCTGGGTGCTCCCGCGCGACGCAACACCGCACATCTTTAGGAGAACGATAATAAAGAGGGAACTCCCGAGCTTCCAGTAAACGCGAATTATCTCCGAAGACAGAGACCACACACAATGCACTGACAGCTCACTCGGCGCCAACCAAATTGCTTGTTATGTGCCCTGGCGTGCACAATGGAAGTTAAGCCAGGCCCGCTTCGCCACTTTCGCCACTACCGCAGCATCGGGGAACGGTCCTCAATGCCGATTCAGCGGCCGATGCACCGCACCAAACCGGGGCTGTTGCACTAGCTACGTTTTTACATCACCACATGCGTACGTACGCTCTCAATTGTGTCCTAATGAACCAATTAAGGTATTCATAGCGGCT